GCTCTAGCTGTCAAGGAATTATCGAGAAGCAGGTTACTCGATAAGTTACAAGACCTTGTTCAGGCGCCTGGCATCTTTCATGTCTGAAAGGCTGAGGAGACCGGGTCGATGCACAGAAGTGGAACAGAGTACAGAGAGAGTGGAAGGATTAATATACAATACAAATGTGTGCGGGTGGTTGGCGGGTGCTCTGGTATGGTTTGCTCATTTTTTCCTATCAAGCAACTAACGAGCTTATTCCTCCTCCTTTTTGTGTTTGTTGACCTCTTGTACACCTTTAATCTTCGGCACCTATACGACCTTCTTGTGTTGCCAGTGCCGTAAAATTCGTACTAAAACTAAAACTGTGTGAACTGTCAATCGAAACGGTCATGTTAGAAGAATCCAAGGGGGACCAATCAACGTGACCAGATACAACCCATGTGGCTAGTTTGTGGGATTGTAGGATTTCGATGTTTAAGACACTTTTCTAACGTTCACTGTGTCGAGTGTTGTTCAGGAGTGTTTGTTTTGCCATTTTGTTTAAGAAAACAAACTACACCATTGTTATCTACGTTCAGTTTTGATTTTAGCACATAAGGTGAAACTAGGAGTGTGTTATCAGCACCCAATTTCATTCTTCATTCCTATCTGAACTCATCTGTGTGTAAACGGATAGAAAGCATCATCAGACAGGACATATGCCATTAAAACGTAGAGCTTTACTCAAGACCAAAATACAAGAGCGTTCCTATAGTGCGGGTACAAATGACCCACATAGAAGAGAAATAGGAATAATAACCATGGAATGGCATCATAGATACTTTGCTACCTGAAAATTACAAAGTTTTATTTGACATTTTTGGCTGTTTTGAGTTACTAAGAAAATCATGTTAGAAACCAAAAGTTCCATCTGCTCTACCAAAATAAAATGTAAGATTATTTGGAGTTGTTATCAAGATAATACTAAAAGAATTGCATTCGAAAAAGCTTGGCCATGAAGTGAAAATCAACATTTTTTAAAAACTTTAAATTTATCAAAACTAGATACTGAGGAGATCTTTGTAAATCTTGGGTCGCGATTTCCCACCATTAAATAAATGCTTCATTTTATGGTAACAATGTCTGTCAATTCATAATATTCCTTTTGGCTTTTAGCTACGTTTGAGCAGATTGATAAGGACTTTTACAGTTGCCTTTGCTCTACCTGTCTCATTCTTCTATGTCTGTGGGGCCGAAGCATACGTGTGTGTGCCGAAGATGACGTCTCGGAAGAATGATTGTTTTTGTATCTACCCACGTTGGGTTCTCAATTGTTCAGAGCAGACTCCTGCGTCTGTCTGGAGGTGAAGTACAATCCAATAGACAATTCGTGAGCAAATGGGCACACAGTCAGTGGAAGAACGTCTCATCCAGCAAGATCTCGGCAAATTGTTTCCTTTAACCGACGACCGTGATAAAGTAGTTGGCAACCTTTTAACTCAAGAAGAAGAAAAGAGAGAAGAAAAATCTAACAAAACAAAACAACAACAACAATGCCATCTGTCCCTTATTTCTGTGCTCAACTTCAAGTCTCCACAGTGGCTTGTACTTTAGTCCCCAAAAAAATAATGTCATCAAAAACAGTAGCAGTTACAGCTTTGGATCTATAGCATAATAACAATAATTAAATTTATATAATTAATATAGTATTGTAGTGACTCTCCGAACACTCAATTAACTCACAACTCAGCAGCTGACATGACCATGATTTCGCACGGATCTGCGAAGTGCTCATATTATGAAAAACACCACCTGACCCGACTGTCCTACAGGGCCAGTCCAGTAGAAAACTCCGGTGAGTAAAGACCTACCTGCATTGGTGACCCCGACAAGTTGAAACGCAATTTCAACGTAGTGTGTTCTATCTTGGATTATATTTTGAATCATACTTTAGCAGACTCGCGTTTTCATCACAGCCCTTGCCACCCCTTCCAAATGTGTGACCAGGATCACTAAGTAAGTGCAGTTTCTATTAAACCGGAAGCTTGGTACGCCCAAACTAAAGCGCAATTCGCTCTGCGAAATATTACCCAAAACGAAACTAAATACTACCATGTTGTTGCCGCCCTCGACAACAGCATAGCAACTCGGGCACTTTCAATATTAACCAACCCACCAGAAGACAACCAATACAGCACGCTGAAAACATTTTTGTTGTCGGAATATAGTTTGTCTGATACGGAAATAGCATCAACGCTCTTTAAACTACAAGGGTTAGGAGACCGTAAGCCGTCAGAGTTAATGGACTCCATGTTAGGCCTACTGGGAGCGCACGAACCGTGCTTCCTTTTCAAACATTTATTCCTACAACAGTTGACTGGCAACGTTCGACCATCTCAACTGCAGCACGTTAGCACAAGAGGCCAACAAATTATTCCTTGTCGTTGCTCCACCCGCGACACCAAAAATTGCGTTCCGCCATGCAGATACAAAGCCTCCAAAAAGCATTTGCGGTTCAGGGAAACGAGTAGGTGGGTCGGCAGAATTCAGTCTGGCTTCAGAACCTTCTGTTGGCCCCCCAAAAGCCTAATTGATTATCATGGACTCAGTCTCTGGCCGCCGTTACATCATCGATACGGGAGCCCACGTTTCGGTTCTTCCTGCAACATGGCAGGACCAACAGGCGAACCTTTCAGGCTCTCCACTTTTAGCCGCAAGTGATAACACAATCAATGCATGGAGCGCTCAACACCACCATTCGTTTCCAAAACAATGCTTTCGACGCCAGGCTTGTCATTGCTGATGTAAAGCGGGCTCTACTTGGTGCTGACTTTCTTCGCCGCCACAACCTGCTGGTAGACATTCGTGGTCAGAGACTAATGGAGCCTCAATTTTTCAAAGTATACCCATGTACTGTCAGTCAGATTTCATATTCTCAGTTCGCCATAGTGGACCCAGAAAGCGACAAATTAGGGAATCTTCCGATATTAAGAGTTTCCTGAAATCCTCGAGCCAACCTTTTCGGGCTCCGAAGTGAAGCACGGTGTTTCTCATTTCATCCCCACTACTGGTCCACCCGTACATGCCAAAGCACATTGACTACCCCCCAAACCCATGACATTTCAGCTCCCAGAAGAAAATGTTTTAAACAGCGAGCTAAACGTTAACTTATGTAGTTGACACACATTTTAATGCACAGGAATCATAAGTCAGACCGATTCGTCACCCGTAAATATAATAGGTATCTTTGTACTGACGCTGACCTACTTGTACTGGTAATCTGAGAAAAGTGAATGACCAGGAGTCACCGAACGAGGGCCTAAGGGCCAGATCTAAATTGCGAGGTTAATAGGTCTAGCTCACCGTCATGCCACCATGCGGGAAAAATAGCCCACTTGGAAGAAGTGTTTGCAACGTGCTCAATACTTGGTCACCAATATGATTAAAAAAACCCAATTCTACTCAACTCTACAGCGGAAATTAAACATGATTTTAAAGACTTCATAAATTCTAGCTAATGTATGGTTTATGTTTTCAGTGTATTGTATTGAAAACAGAAGCCTCCGCTTACTTTGGAGAGAAAAAAAGTTTGGTGACCTTGGTGTGACGTAACAAACGCTAGGAAAGATGCGCGAACAAGTGTATAAACATGCATGCATACATACATACACACACACACACACACACACACACACACACACACATACACACACACACACACACACACACACACACACTCTCTCTCTCTCTCTCTCTCTCTCTCTTTTGTTTGTGTGTGTGTGAGAGAGAGAGAGAGAGAAAGAGAGAGAGAGGAGAGAGAGAAAGAGAGAGAGAGAGAGAGGGAGAGAGAGAGAGAGAGACTGATAGATCGATGGATAGATAGATAGATAGACAGATAGATAGATAGATAGATAGATCTAGATAGATAGATAGATAGATAGATAGATAGATAGATAGATAGATAGATAGATCTAGATAGATCTAGATAGATCTAGATAGATCTAGATAGATAGATAGATAGATAGATCTAGATAGATAGATAGATAGATCTAGATAGATCTAGATAGATCTAGATAGATCTAGATAGATCTAGATAGATCTAGATAGATCTAGATAGATTGATAGAGAGACAGAGAGTGATAGGGAGAGAGGGAGCGAGTGAGAGATAGATAGATAGAGGGAAACAAGGTAACGGCGGGATTTTCGGAAAGACAGCATCAAGGAGTGACATCCGACGACAGCCATTTCCGTGTTCAGATATTGATTATCTGACAACTTCAAAAGAAGTATGGTGGGGCGCGCCTTTCATCAACCCATACCAGAAAGGAGTTAACATACCCGATGTCTCTATGGGCAGTCGAGCCCACTCATTCCCTCCCCCCGGGCTGTCCACCTTTTAAACCCTGTTCTGTCTTACCGTGTTAATAACATATCTTAAACACAGTTCACCACACACAATAAGAAATTAGATTTACTATTTATTTATCATTACCGAGATTTGCGTCCCAGTAGGAAGTCAATTATGAAAACCCATCTGTTTTGTCCTTCTTCGTACTTTTATTCAGTAATGATATGAAGATGATAGGGTGGTCTATGCAGTTCTTTCTGTTTCTTTCCGTCTCTCTATCTCTCCCCAGCCTTTCAGGTAGAAAGTACAGAAAGGTAAATACAAGAAAGAAAAGAAAAGACAATTATATGATTATTCAATTATTTATTAATTCCCAGGGGATATTTGTTTCTCAGTGACAAAAATAACAGTAATAATAACAGCCCCAAGAACTAAAACAGTAGCCCATTGTTGCTGCTGATCGGGATAATACGCTCTGATTGTCCACTTGGATACTATTTCTTTGACACAACTTGACATTATATTACGACCCTGTAACAAACACAAAAAGAGAACGAAAGATAGAAATGATGGTTGTTTGATAGGAGAGAAGGAGCAAACGACTTTCTCCCGTCACTTCCCCAGCACCAGAACCAGAGCACCCGCCAACCACCCACATTCTAATGTTTCCTTTCTTCCGTCCCTTCCCCAGCACCAGAGCTGTACCCGTGCCTGAGGGATGGCGCCGCCACGGAAGACCTCCCGGACTCCAGGGAAGCCCTGTTTGAGCTGTCCCCGGAGGGAGATCGTGCCAAAGAAGCCCTCAAGAAACATATGCGGAGGAAACACAGCGAGGTGCGTTGGATTACAGGCTCCTGTATCTGATTTTGAGGGGGAAAAAGGGCAGTGGGTGGGGGTAAGGGATGGGGCGTGTTGTGAATCACTCTTTTTTTCAGTTCTTAGTTTTTGTTGAGTATGGGGTCAGAGTCACCCCCCCCCCTCTCTCTGTAAAACTGCTTTCCATGACTTTCTATTTTGTCTCATATACCACGAGTGTTGTAGATTGGCATTGGTAGATCCATCTTCACGACTGTCACTCACTGACTTTCTTTTTGATATGTGCTCCCCTCCCACTCCCCAATCCCTGTATTGAATTTTAATGGTATCGATGTCACTCTCTTCATTTGAAAAACCCAGGCAAGTCTTTCTAAGGAAGTTTTATGATGATTACCCCCCCCCCCGGCAAAAAACAAGAACACAAAAAAACGTTTAAAAAAAACCCAAATCACGAAATCATTTTAAAAAAGTGCACAGTAAGATAATGAGTCATTATTGCTGGTTATTGTCATCCTGGCCTGACGTCACAAATGACCGACCAATGCTGTCTCTCAAGTAATCCTCTTTCCCTTGCACGCACCGACAATAATATATCTACTGTAATCTGCTTCCGTTATAAACTCCCAACACCGTAAAATATAAGCTCATAAAGTTCAACTTTCTGTCTTTCAATCTGTTTCACTCGCAGAAACTCACGCATTTTCAGCCATTCGAGAGCAGCTGCCACATCACCTACGAGCGTAAAAAAAAAATACAACAAAAAACTACGCACGGCAGTGAAATTAGAATGATAAAATCTTGACAGAACGTGACGTTTAGATCGTGTATGAAGACGAATAATATTGAGATATTCTAGTTGTAGACACACTGCTTGAAAAGTTAATATGGGCAACACGGAGAAGAAACTAGTAAACCCTGTGAATTCAGTTGTGTCCGGTTTTGTTTTTCTGTTTTCTATTACTCTTCAAACGATGAAAGACAAGATTGATCGCTTAAAACGGAGTACCTCTAAAAAGGTATGTCCCAAGCTGTGCTATTGTTGTTCATAAATGATGCAGTAATTTGGAGTATGGCATTTATTGTAATCAGACTTTATCACCTGATTTACGTGTATTTGGAATCTAATCACTGCATCTGTCTATTTGCAAGCCCCATCTCCCCCTCTTCTGTTTTTTATAATAAGTGCCTTCCCTTGAGATTTAAGATCTGCATCTGTGGTGAGGTGGGTAGGCGCTCCACAGTGCATGCAGGAGACCTAAATTCGATTTACTTGTGGGGAGGATTTTCATCAAACATCTCTGTTTTTCTTCTGGGGCGATGTATCCCTCTAAGCCCGGGTTGGCTCTGACAGGCATGGTCAAAGTCCTCTTCCGTAAACGGTCTAAATTGTGTCGATGGGGACGTAAAAATATCAACATTAAAACACAATTTGAGGTTTCAGACATCCTTGGCAACTTTTGTTCATTGACACAGAGGGTACGCAGCGTAGGGATTAGGGAATCTATTGTTTTCTCGACCATGCTCAAAAGGCAAGAAAGGTGCAAGGCCGGAAGAGTTAATAAGTGCGCAGAAACATACCGCCCTCACAGTAGTTAGGTCGTGGAGTGTGAGTGCTGGAGTTGTACCCCTTGTTGATTGAATAGCGGATTACTCCCGTCCCCCGACTCGGTCGATGAAAGCTTGAGCGATTGATCGAGCCTTTTAAGGTAATGGTAGAGGGTTCTTGTTGTCAGAAAGACCGCAAATATCAAACCTCAAAATGGATGAGCAATGCGTTCTCTCTGCCTTCCCCTGCGTCCGTGGTGTTATGGTCAGGCTCTTCACCAATTAACTCTGGAGGTTGGAACTTGAGTACTGTTTGGGGAAGTTTTATATCAAGTATACAAAAGTCACCAAACTGACACCAAAGATCTTACTTTCTGTACATTTTATGGTATTTGGTTTTCGTTCGAGGTCGGTTGGCATGCAATACAACACATTTAGGCAGCTCAAGCATAGCGTCTTGGAACAGTCTTAGGTTCTGAAAGGTCTTTCTTGCTACAACCACTATTCGTGCTTGCAGTCTTGTACTTTTACAGAAACTGGTGCTTCAGCAGTGTCTTTATACTCAAGAGATTAGGAACATTTACGAGTCGCGTTGATATGTATTGAACCGAAAATATCGTCATATTTTTAGTGGTGGTGTTTTTTGATAGGGGGGGGGGGTGCCCTATGAGGGAAAACACCAAGCAGGTCTTTGCGGATCGGACAACCAAGGGAATGAGCAATAAACTGCAGATCCCATTTCTATACTTGATCACTCTCACAGTTACTCGTAATCGTGAAATAGCGAATTCAGGGGTTCGAGCCTCAGCTCGGTCCGACGTTGTGTCCTTGGGAAAGGCACTTTACACGATCTTCCCACTTGGCTCGGTCCTATCTGAGACGGACGTTAAACTAGGAGGTCCCGACCCTTAAATAACCTAATAGTATTGATAGGGGCGTTAAACCTATACCATTTCACCACATTTTCTCACAGTTACAATAAACTAATATCTCAGCTAGAGCTACCATACCTCTTACTTGAAAAAAGATTACATAAAGGAACAGCACTGATGTCATAAGTAATAATCTGGCAGATTATACCAATATTGGAAATTATATTTCCCCAGCATCGGATTCCCTCAAAGAGACGGAGTCCAATACTACGACGTTCGGTGGAGAAAATGAAAGAATCCCTCAACTGTGGATCGTGCTCCCGGAAGTCGTGCTGTAACTACGCCAAACGATTATTCCCCTTCACGCGCATGCTCAATGGCTACAGCGGCCTCTACGATCTACCATGTGACCTCATAGCTGGCCTTACGGTGGGAATCATGCACATTCCTCAAGGTAAGTCTTACTGTGAACGCACTGAGAATAATAAAAGTACAGATCCATGTACCCAAAACGCTTCTCTGTAAAGGCTACCATAAAATATATGAAAATAATTTCAAACTTCGAAATTTCAGATATTGTTTCGAGCAACAGCCTCCTTTGATGTTTTTTTTATAATATATTTTCTTTAGTAAATTGTAAAATGAAACCAACGCAACAAACAATCAGCCGGCTAGTCTTTCCTCTGACCAAACGGTCACGTACAATTTCAACCAATTAACGTAAAACTTATGAATCCATCTATCCTCAAAAGATGGATCAGTTTATCAATAAATTTACTAGTGAACGAATCAATATTTTGTAAGCGTAATCTATCTTACCTCTGATGTAATTTTTGGTGAGGTATGAGATTAGACAGCTGTTCCCTGTTGCCTTCTTCTCAACACAAAGTAGAAATACAGAGAATTATGTCAAATGCACACACATACATACAAACACCTACATACAACTACCTACACACAAACACACACACACACACACACACACACACACACACACACACACACACACACACACACACACACACACCCTTACCCCCCACCACCCCCACACACGGGCACATGTATGTTATCCATGCCTTCACACACATTCACACAATGTCTCTCACTCTTCTTCCCATCTTTCTTTTTCTTTCTAATTCTCCCCCCCCCCTTTTCCTCTCCCCTCTCTCTCTTTCTCTCTCTCTCTCTCTCTCTCTCTCTCTCTCTTTCTCTCTCTCTCTCTCTCTCTCTCTCTCTCTCTCTCTCTCTCTCTCTCTCTCTCTCTCTCTCTCTCTCTCTCCACGTAACTTGGTAGAACGTCCCCAAACATTTTGGCAATGGGGGAATGTGAACGTCATTATTTGAGATTTATTTGTATGCCACTTATCATCTACGAGCAATAAAATATTGGTATAAATTACTGGTAATGGATAATAATAGGTATACTAAGAAATGCTATTTGCAAGCGTATGCACATGACCAAAATAATCGGTACAGCTGGGCCACTGACATGGGGAAACTTTTATGTACAATAGGGTTTGGATATGCGTGGATTTTTAAAAATGTTGGTGATAAGAATATTTTCCTATCTCAAGTAAAGGAAAGACTTATAAATATTAGTCACCAGGACTGGCGTTCTAGGGTGTCTGGCGTTTATCCTGAGTACCTGGACTTTCACCCTACGTTAAGCCCTGCACCGTACCTCTCATTCACCATCTCTGCAAGAGGTAGAAGGATCCTTGCATTACTCAGAACTTTCAGTTTGTCGTTGAAAAATAATCTGTTCCGGTTGGGTATTGTCGACAGTAATCGTTGCCTCCAGTGTGATGAAAAGTATGTAGAAAATGAATTCCATGTATTGTTCAGATGTTCACGATATAATGAAATACGAGAGCAGCTTTTACCAGAGTGCGTCAGACTTCAGACACCCGAAGGGCCAATGTCTAAGCTCAATGGCATATTAGTCTGTTCAGATGAAGTCCATTCTAAAAAGATAATCTCATTCCTAAATTATGTTGTTATACGGACACGTCTGTCCTAGGGAAAAGGTATTCACTCGCATATATAACTCTGTATCTACTGTAATGGGTACTATTTTATATGTATATGTGTATGAAAAAGACAATGGTATTCACTTCTCAGAGTGAAACATGTCCCGATTTCTCTCGCTGCCTCATTCATAGCACTGTGTGGAAGTTCTATTTCTATTTGATCTTATGAATGTATGTATGTATGTATGTATGTATGTATGTATGTATGTATGTATGTATGTATGTATGTATGTATGTATGTATGTATGTATGTATGTATGTATGTATGTATGTATGTATGTATGTATGTATGTATGTATGCGTGTGCGTGCGTGTGTGCGTGCATGCATGCATGCATGCATGCATGCATGTATGTATGTTTGTATGTATGTATGTATGTATGTATGTATGCATGTATGTATGTATGTATGTATGTACGTATGTACGAATGTACGTATGCATGTAAGTATGTGTGTGAGCAGGAGCGTGCATGAGTGTATGTGCGTGCGTCACGTGCGTGTGTGCGTGTGTGTGTGCGTGCGTGCGTGCGTGCGTGCATACGTGTATGTGAGCGTGCATGTCCAATTTATGTTAAACATCCAATGTCCTGCACCAATGTATGTAATTGCCGAACCATATGTTAAAATATGTGGATGTATGGGCCAAAGGCCTTTCAAATCAATAAATCATTTTGAATCTTGAATCTCTCCACGTAACGACACATGCACAAACACACACATCCAAAGACAAACGGACACACACACACATCCCAACACACACTTTGTCTCTCTCACACACATACACATACGTATACACATATACACACACATACACCCACAAGCAAAAAAAGATACACACAACTTCAGTACTCCAAAGTTTGTGAATTTGTGGATATGTGTACAACTTGATCTTGATCTTTGAGGGTGATGACGAACTACTTATTGCGAAGGGGACACACAAATAACCTAACTATATCTACAAATGCAATGTGAACGTCGTCTGTGGTGAAGCGTTGAGACTCTTCGCCGTCAACACGCTGGAGATATAAGTTCGATTCTCGTGTGGGGAGAATTGTTATTGAGTATTACCAATTTCTGTTGTTTGTACTCCTCTCAGCCTGTGTTGGCAACCAGTCTCTTATATTATCGAAATATTGTCGATAGAGTCGTAATCGTTTTAGGATCTCCAGTCTGTGGGAGAGCCACTGGGAAAACCAGAAAAATAATAAATTATATGAAATTAAACCCAGACTAGAACAGCGAAATCCTTCGGATCTCTCCAGAAGAGACGAAGTCATTTTTACTCGATTGCGCATCGGACACACGGCCCTGACCCACAAATACCTCCTACAGGGAGAGGAGAAGCCGTTCTGTGTCGGATGCGACACACATTTTACCATTAGACACATTTTAACAGAATGTCTAGACTTTGGAGAGATCCGAAGGAAATATTATAAATGCAAGAAATTGCAGGATATTTTCTCCGTCGTTGTTCCCAGCAGAATTTAAAATTTTATAAAGGCCATTGGCCTTTATGGCGAGTTGTAAAGTGAATCTGATATTATTTAAAATTTTTATTGTTACTTAAAAGTTGTTTTAGATCACAAATGTATTTACACCGAATTTGAATATTTTAACTTTTTAGCATTTTAAAGTAAATTAGTTACCAGTCGTGAAGCGAACTTTCGCAGAGGTGAACAACTTGTGTTTCGCGCGCTCATATGACCTTAGCAGTTGCGAGCGCCGTAAAACCTTATACTACTATACTACTATCGTTTTAGGATCACATATTTGTTTGTTTCTTTTTAAAAATACTGTTTGTATGATATGTAATTCATAATATATACTTTTGTCTGTGTTCCCCACAGGTATGGCGTATGCACTGCTGACTCAGCTGCCCCCTGTGTACGGTCTTTATACCTCTTTCTTCCCTGTACTCATCTACTTCATCTTCGGCACCTCGAAACACATCTCTGTCGGTAAGAACTCTTACGCCTTTAGACATATAATACTAAAATATACATTGCCAAATAAACTCAGGGAAGGTGAACGTCTTCGTATTGAAATCAAAACTGTCTGATCACGTTCCTGGTTCTGAAAGTGTCTAAGAAGTTTTCAAGTTTTGCGTTTTACGTAGTTTGGGTTGAAATATAAAAGAAAAACCAAAAACCCACTTGATATTAATTGAATGCTTATACTGATGTTTTTCATACTGATAACTTGACGTCCCCTCAGTTGAATTTTATTTGTTTCATGCTTTGTTGAAATTAATCTAAAATGATCGAGTTGATACCCTTTGAATGGGACATCTTTTTTTAGACAACCTTTATTATTTTTGCGAGGGAATTCCCGCTTCCCAGAGAAAGATTCAACCTTTATTCTCTCTATAAAATGACGCACTGCCTCCCTGGCGCTCATGACTGTGCAGCATTTCCTTAATTGTTTTGTGTCTGCATCCTTTTCTTCTTCATTTATCCTTCCTTACTTTTATCTCGGACCAAAGACCTCTCTTTCAAACTCAGGTACAGTAGAATCTGCTCTCATGACCACTTGCTCAAAAACAATCGCCTGTACAAACGACCTCTTTCCACTTCTACCCTTGTAGTTTAAAAACAAAAACAACAACTTTATTACAAGGTCACTGTCCGAGGGGACACCTGTCTAAGATAACTACTCTTCTCCACAACAATAGGTGGTTACCTTGGCCAGATTGGATTGTGCGCTATCTGTATATTGTAGCTAATTAGACTTCTACAAAAAAACAACAACTAATAGATCGTTCCCTTTTCAATAACTCAATACGTTAGACTTAAACAAAAACTATTTATTTATCCCGTTACCAAATTCTGTGATACCGTCGCTCTTCAGGGACATTCGCCGTGGTGTCTCTCATGGTCGGAGCAGTGGTGGACAAAGGTCACGTGGCCTGGCAACGCCAGGAGCTCCAGGGAGCCATCCACGACATCGAGGCGGGGCAAAATATCACTCACTCCATAGGGGGCGTCACCACCACCCTCCCTCCTCCAGCAGCTGTCGGGGAACAGAACCTCACGGCCTGGGACCAGATATTTCGGCGCCAACATATCTCAGAACTGGAGGCCATAAAAGTTGGTTATGCAATGGCTGTAACTTTTGCTGTGGGACTGCTGCAGGTAGGTTACCACTGAAAGACTATTGCACGATGAAAAACATAATAATATTGTATTTCGTTGGAACTTAAAAAGCCTATAATAATAATAATAATAATAATAATAATAATAATAATAATAATAATAATAATAATAATAATAATATACTGCCGCTGCTGCTGCTGCTGCTGCTGCTGCTGCTGCTGCTGCTGCTGCTGCTGCTGCTGTTTCTGCTGCTGCTGCTGCTGCTGCTGCTGCTGCTGCTGCTGCTGCTGCTACTACTACTACTACTGCTACTACTGACGCAATTAAAAGCTGCATTGCAAATTTTATTTGAAAAAAAATAGAGGGAAAGAAAAGACAGCCATTACCACTGTCAAACTGTTTTTCCTTCATGTCCATTCCACCCCCTCCAGCTAAAAAAACCAAAAAACTCCCACCCCACCCCAATACAAAACAAACAAATAAAAACAAAAAAATACACAAATAACAAGCAAACAAACACAAACATCCAAACTACAAATCAATGAAAGAAAGTATTCCGATTCCGTCATGTTACCCTCTCCAACTTTGATGTCTACCCAAGGGTAAAATTTCAACCCGGCTTTTCCTCGAATAACACTTTTCTCTTTACATGCAAACTTCCACCCGAGGGATCCAATCAGGCATCTCGACTGAGAGGAACTGAGTCACGGTTTAATCCATACCCCTCCCCATCTCCAGCCCCACCCTACCCCTCCCCATCTCCAGCCCCACCCTACCCCTCCCCATCTCCAGCCCCACCCTACCCCACCTCTTTCCACCTCTTTCCCTTTTTGCACCCTCGAGTTATATTCAACTCTTTATTTCTGGTTGGCACGTGAGAGTACGTTTCGTTAGAGGGATAGTTAACCTTGCTGCACTGACTTTTTACACCCACACAATAGAACGTTTCGTCCCCTTTGCTGGCTCGAGTTACCTCATGTGATACCCTAATCCCACTGATTGTCAGTATTGCATTATGGATTATAAAGGGCTTAGAGCTTGCCGTTGACCGGAAATTTGTGCTCCACAAATGCCATATATTATTCATTGTTAACTTGGGTTCATTGCCAAGATTCCCCAGAGAGGATACACACCAGGAAAACAGATAGCTCGCTAGGGTGAGATGATCGGAAAATATTTGACTGCTTTTTAGACATATTATGACAGTAATCCACGAAGTTGAACACTGTTATTTGCGTTATATTCTAGATGATATGTTTATACTTTGGTATCTGACAAGGTAGACTGGTTTTTCTGTGATGTTTCATATCTTTTTAAAGCAGGTCTTGCGCTTCCTGGTACATTCACAGTTAATGCATACTTATAAACCGTGATCTCTTTCGAGGTGCAAAAATCCCTAAACTCTTTTGCGAAGAAGAGTTTAATATTATAGTGAGGTAAAACATTCGTGGTGCAACTTATCCTCAAATGTCTTTTTAACGGGTCTTTAGCAATGTTCCCGATACTTTCCACAGCAGTTTGTGTCAATTTGCCTTAACATAATAATATTTTCCCACAACCATGGAGGCTCGAAAAAACAACTAACTTTTTTTCCCGTAAATTTATATGAAATACTATAAATCTCCCTCACGCGGAAAATGTGATTGTTTTCAGCACTTCCCGCTTCTCACACATATTTTGCATACGCATTATGGCCTACGTCACCGCTCACTAATGACACCTTTTAGTGGCAAATCTTTTTACAATAGATTATTTTTATAGTGAATACTTCTTTGTCCTCAAAACACTCGTTTAATATGCGTAATGTCATGAATGAAAACCCCCCCTCCCAAACAATGACGGACTTGCGTTTAGAAGCAATGATATTCTCGCTTAGATTTTCAATTTATATCATTTAGAAATATTCTACAATACAGCTAACAGGTGTTTACCAAAACGTTGATCTGGCCAAATTAATACAAGTCATTGTGCAAAAGCTGGACAGTCTATGTTCGATAGTTTAGGAAATATTTGACAATAAGTTGCGCCATGAATTTTTGACCGCACTATAGATGCACTCTATATTAAGCCTTTTAGAACTCCGGAGAAAAATCACGTCAGAACCAGGGAATAAAATACTTTGTGAATAGTTAACTTTGGTAGGCATGGCACATTAAACATCTTTGCATCCTGTGTATATGAGACTAAATTTTGACCACATAAAGGATTTCTGCAAGGTACAAGTTGTGATACGAGGGGCCGACTAGTATTGTGAACGAAACGTACAGTAATTACGCTGTACGAAGATTTGCAATAAATAATTTGTCATGATAATGTGATGCCGACGATGTATCTCTTGTGATTTTGAAAGGTATGCACAACAAACGCCCAGTAAACTGATTAGACCACCGACATTTATAGTTGCGTTCAACGTAACCCAACTTAATCGACTGAAATCAAAATCTGTTTTACCGGATCATTGTTAGTGCAACTTATGAGGGAATACTCTCTGGATAACATTTCCAGCAATATTTGGAAGGAGTTTTTTATCTTCGTAATCGAGGCAGGGACACCCATGGGACTCTTAAATCACTTAAAGTTGTCTGGGTTTTAAACAAAAGAACCGCCGTACAGGATCAAAAGTGCGTTTTCACAGAAGCCGCTGTGAAATAGTTGTTCTTGTAACCAAAAAAGAGGCCATAATTTACTCCAGTCTGTTTTCTTTTTATTGGCGTCCATTGCCAGTCTGCCTCATTGTAACGTCGGTAGCCTAGTGGTTAGGCCACCGATCTCGTAATCACGAGGTTGCTGGTTCAGGGGTTCGAGCCTTAGCTCGGTCCGACTTTGTATCCTTGGGAAAGTCACTTTACACGAATTTTCTATTTGGTTCGGTCCTTTCGGAGGTGAACGTTAAAATTCGGAGGACCTGCCACTCAACTAATCTAAAAATGAGGACAGGGGCGTTAAACTTATACCATTTCACTTTTCAGCCTGACTCTGGCCTGGTCCGATTTTGCAGAGCCGACAAATTTACGTAAGTGTGCACTATTTTTATTGTGACCAGGTGTTCCTCGGCACTATGAGACTGGGATTCCTCACGACCTTTCTGTCGGATCCCCTGATCAGCGGCTTCACCACAGGCGCTGCCATACACGTCTTCTCCAGTCAGGTCAAGTCGGCCTTCGGTGTCAAGGTCAAACGATTCAGCGGACCTCTCAAGCTAATATTTGTAAGTGACAGAACAGCATTAGACCTATTTTCAGATGTTATTAATAGATACAAGTATTATAATTGTTGCTGTTTTCACAAACGTCTTTTCTGTCAAATGTGAGCGTTTTATGTGATGTGGGCAAATGGCCATGAACAGTGTATAAAACACCTACCTACAACCTCTCCTCCCAAAGAAAAAGCGATATTAGATTTAAAATAAATTTTATGAAAAGCGAAGCATTGCCTTGCCGCAATAGAGTTTTAAAAGTTTTAATGTTGATGTACAGCCGTGTATGCCCCCAGGAGGCTCACTCAACATACAGGCGTCTGTGGTGTAGGGGTTTGCTGTTTCATTAAAAAAAAGACTCGAGCTCAATACCCGTTTGAGAATTTTTATCGAGTTTTTCGGTCTTTCAGGTGTGACGCAGTATCTCTCCCAGCCCTGATTGGACCTGTCAGGCAGGGTCGAAACCAGCCTCCTAAATTATCTGCATAAAAAATACTTGACCAATAATTACATTGGCCAGCATGTTCATTTCTCATTCCCCATTTCCATTTCGGTTCCTGAAGGAAATACAGTTTTGCAGCATGTTAGGCGTTTACGGTTATAATTAATAATATTCCATTTCTGTCGATTGTCAAGAACCTTTTTACTTCTGAGTACATTAATAAAAACATATCTCCGAGAGGTACCTTTCCTAGAGACGCAATGCATTATCTAAAGTAAAACGAATTTTAACTCGCAACCTGTTATGGCAAGTAAGACGCCACACCTCTCGATAAGACGCTATAGTAATAAGCGTTCTTAGCGAATCTGCATCTCTGTGACGAACTTTTGTTGTTGTCCCGGGTTGCCATGCTGGCCTTCGGTCTGCCTGTCCGTCTGTCCGTCTGTCTGTCTGTCTGTCTGTCTGTCTGTCTGTCTGTCTGTCTGTTTATCTATGTCTGTCTGTCTGTCTTTCTGTCTGTCTGTTTGTTTGTATCTGCCTGTCTCTGTCTTTGTTTCTGTCTCTGTCTCTGTCTCTGTCTCTGTCAGTCTGTCTGTCTGTCTGTCTGTCTATCTGTCTGTCTGTCTGTCTGTCTGTCTGTCTGTCTGTCTGTCTGTCTGTCTGTCTGTCTCTCCGGCTTTCTCTCTCTCTCTCTCCCCCCCCCTCTCTCTCTCTCTCTCTCTCTCTCTCCTCTCTCTCTCTCTTCTCTCTCTCTCTCTCTAAGACGCAAAGAGCGAGCATACCGCTGGTAGACTTATTTATTAATTCTTAAAAATTAAGGTTTGGGGGTGGAGGGGTGTCGTGTATAATATGTGGATAAATTGTCAGGACATTTCTATACAGTAAAATCTGTCTACTTTTGTGTATTAGTCTCAAAGGTTGTTTTAAAGAAGAGAAGAATTAAATAAGGCGGAGACGACATCCGGTCGAGTACAATTGTTTATGTATATTTTGTGTCACGACACGATTGAATCATATCCTCGTCAGTTTCTGGCCTTATTGAGTTTTTAATATCGTCTCAAAGCTTGTCTATAATTTATCTTTTTTTTATGAAGAAAGAAAAACCAAACACATCTGTCTTGATTAGAAATCGAGATATCAAAATTTGCCAAGAAATGGCCGCCGAAGTTTGGGGACTTCCAAAGCTGGAATGTCCTTTTTTGCCTTTGATTAATTTTTTTTCTGTAAAAATCCACAGAGAGATGGACGTAAACGTTGTCCCCCCCCCTAAAAAAACAAAAACAAAACAACAACAACAACAAAAAAATCGATGAAAATGCCAGATGAGCGAAAAAATGTCAATTTCTTCGATGTCATTATCTTGACGAGCCCCTGCTTTCACAACGACGCAACCCTTATCATTCGACCATAATTTTATGATCTGAAACTGAAACTCCTTCTTGTTTTTAATGGTTTTATCCATTACCACGAACACACATAATCAAATTTTAGTTGGAAGGGAGAGAGATGAGCCATTCTGTGGTTAATATGTGATTCAATATCAAATAGTTTGTTTTGTGCTTCAGTATCTGATTTGATAGCACAGTTATTTTCACAAGCATGATATTGATCGTTATGGTCTGTTCCCAGTCATACAAAGATTTCTTCTCAAATTTAAACCAAGCCAACATCGTTACCATGACGGCAACCATCGTGGCTATCATGGTTCTTGTGGCCATCAGAGAAGGAATTAACAACAACAAAACCTTCAAAGAAAAGATGAAAGGAATACCTGTCCCTGGCGAGCTTATGGTGGTAAGTCCAAACACCATTACACAGATTCTTTATAGCCTCACACTAACATGCACACGCACACACACACACACACACACACACACACACACACACACACACAACCACACACAAGAACACACACACACACACACAACCACACACAAGAACACACATACATACACACACACCCACACAACCAAATACACATACTTGGTCAGATACATACACACACTTACATACAATCACACACACGAACACACACGCATACGCACACGCACATACATTCAGCAACACACACGCTCGCACATACATACACACACTCACACACATACATACACATACACACACACAAAGGCACGTAGCCACGCAAACACTTATGCCCTTTGGCTTTCAATTGATGTTGAAGCACCGATGCACCGATCATTCCCTTCATCGAAAGGGGGCGCAGCAAATTCTGATTATTTTATGGACATATCTTACAAACAAGTGGGTGTTGTCTTCAAATTCGCTTGTTTCAGCGGTCTCTTTTAAACAAATTTAAATCAATATAAAGGGTCACTCCGATGTGCGGTAGAGGTAATTTCCTGGCACTTTGTAGTATATTGAAATGATTGTGGTTGTATGAATATGTAATCGTTTCTAAGGAGCGTTGAAGTATTTTATTCTAGTTTAGCGATGGTATCTCCCTTCCACAGATAATTGGGGGCACCGTGCTGTCATCTCACTACCAGCTGCACAGAGAGTTCGACGTGGAGGTCATAGGTCACATTCCAAAGGGGTAAGGCTCTTCTCGGGTCTTCATGACATACAAAATCAGCTAAGGATGTATCTGGATTGAGAGAAATCATTGTATTTAATAAACTTGTCAATGGAGGGAACGATCATGGCGTAAAGCCTTCAGGTTAGACTATTTATATTAACTATTTTTACTAGTTGTGTTGGGAAACATCCTTGTGTCAGATCGTAGAATTTCTGAACATAAAATGTTGCGTGCAAGGAGCGTTAAACTTTTGCATTTTCGCACATTTGTTTGTACCGTTTCGCAGCACAACGTAACCATGATTGTATGTAGAGGTGGAACAATGTCTATCACTGCCATAGAAAGACAACTGTAAGCCCCTCTTGATACTTTTCAGTACATCTAAATATTTCATTAGTTTGGACATGTCTTTTAACTCTTTAAACCCTGAGTTTTTTCCTCTATTTCCCGGACTTTTTAAAAGTTACCTAAACCTGGTGCACTATGTCTCATTATAACCCCAAAAGCTTGCCTCCAACTTCAAAATGGCGGAAACAAATTTTTAGTCATTACTAAAAATCTACTGACCACAGTGAAGAGACGAAAATTAAAATGGTATGAGCATGTCACAAGATCCACAGGACTTGCCAAAACAATCCTGCAAGGAACCGTACAGGGAAAGAGAAAGAGAGGAAGGCAGAGAAGGAGATGAGAGGACAACATTACAGAGAGGACAGGAAAGACGATGGGTGACAATCTGCGGAAAGCAGAGGACAAAAATAGGTGGCGAGAGCTGGTTTTCAGATGCAGTGGTGCCCTAACGGTTGCCCAACCACGGGATAGAAGAAGAAGAAGAAGAAGAAGAAGAAGAAGAAGAAGAAGAAGAAGAAGAAGAACAAGAGAAAAAGAAAAAGAAAAAGAAGAAGAAGAAGAAAGCTTTGTTCGGGAATAGTTTGAAAAACAAGCAAAAATTAGCACTAAATGAAACGAAACAGTTGTCACTAGTACTGGACCCTCCCAGCGTTTGACGGGGAACAATCTGATTTAAAGAGTTAATGGTAGCGGTCAAAAACTGTTTCTTGAATTGCGAACGAGATAATATGTTTCTCTATGCACAATATAGATTATTATGTCGTTGGCTCATATGCTTCGATCCCACATGTCAGGGCCAGCCAGTGCTGTGTAAGATGTGTCTTATCAGGAAGACAGAGAGGCAATGTTTCCCAGACTGGGGAATCGATCTCACTTCTGTTGCGTGCAGAAAGAGACAAGAGCTTAATCATTACAGCTGAACGCCTTTCTTTTTTGTGCTCTCTTTTGAGGAACGGACCCAGGAATATTACGTGTTCATGATATTATGGTAAAGAAATTTGGGCTGTCCCTATTATTATTTAACAGAACACATCATTTGGTTCCAGTGAAATTGTTTGGAAAGTAATCAAGGAAAGGCCATAATGAGACGTTTTTCGATATCTGTTTTTGAAATCGTTCCCGCTTCGTTTTCCAGAAAGGTGGTAATGGTGTTGCTGTTAAGCGACAATATATCCTATACGGGAAAATGGTGCATATTATTCTATTGTTGCTGTTGTTGTTGTTGCTGTTGCTGTTTTTGGAACGCTTGTAGCTCGAACGGTGACGTTGGTTACAAATTTGGCCTGCACCCTGACGTTTGAGGTACAAGTCATAGCGAGATAAATATTTTTCTTGTAACACACAAAATAAAGAAAACTATTATATAGAGACAGCATTTCCAGTAATAAAACAACTAAATGGGGGTGGGGGGAGGGGGGTAGCCTCGGAGGCATTTCTAAAAAAACAAAGTCACGATTGTCATTGGCCCTATTGGGAAATCAAAACCGAGCCAATCACACTGTTGTGAAGCTAACAGTGCATCCGGGATATCGTGTTGTTTTTAGCTGAATTTCTAATAAAAGGATATATACAAACTATCAGTCTGTCACTTCACGTTAACTAATTAAGGTTTCCATAATCAGTTGTCTTGTATTTTGTCCCTGGTGGAGCTGTGATTCTAATAATTGTTTTTCGTCTTCCTCTTCTCGCAACCATCGTTTCATTGATCACAATTTCGCATGAATCTGTTTTGAGCTCATATACTTTTTGTTTATTACTTTTTCTATGTTCTAAGCTATTTAGTCTACTTCTGGTGTTTGACTGTGGGACTTTTTGTTTTCAAAAGAAGGTTCGATTTTCTGAATAATTGAGCAAGATAATTCTTTTTTAAAATCTCCATTTTCCTACTTCGCTGGTTCTCTGTCTAAGAGACAAGACCAAAATAGTCTGCTATCCAAAAATCGAAATAAAATTGTTTGGACTAGTGAACACAAACAATCATTACTGACAATGCAACAACCATTTTAGGAGAACAACTGCAACCAAAATGTTTATCATAAATGCACCCTCATCCTCATTCATATATTCCTACTGGCACTGCCTCTTTTTTTGCTTCGGCGTTTATAAATGTTTCTCATTCATATTGTGTCATAAACGAGACATATGGATGAACTGACAATATTGATAGAAGAATCCTTTCTTAGCAATAATGTAGACCTATGATAAAAGGAAAAAGAGATAAAAATTAAAATAAAGAAAGGTCAAACACACGGAGCTTTGAGTAAAACGATACAAGTGAAAGAACACCTTTAAGAGAATGAGCAAAGAGAAATATACCGACCTTAGATGACACCTGTTCAGTAATTTTATACCTATTCCATACTAAAGGCAATATTTTTCAATTTTTATGGGACTAGCTGAATGTCTAATTACATGTAAATAATGTGAATGATATACACAGCCTAGCAATGTGTCACTTCACGTTATCTAAAAACGAGTCCCATAATCAATTAATTTTCTAGCATTCTGCCCCTGTTGGAGTTGGGATTCTAACGTGTGAGAATAAATCTCGGTTTAGCTTCCTCCAATATCTTAATGTTTAGTGCAGTCTATAAATAAAAACTGTCCACAACTTAGTTTCAAAAAAGCTTTCAAAGACCCCTGCACTGCAAGCCCACGCTAGATTCTCGATATCTCTCCCCCCCTCCCCCCACCTTTCCTCTCTCACTTCCCTCAACGTCTAGTGTCCAACTGATTAACGGTTAATGACCAATAGTGTCTCTTACACCAAACTTTAGCACATATTCCCTCCCTCACGACCCAATAATGTTTTAGAAAACAAATATAATATCATCCCCTCCCAAACCATTGCGGCCCCACCTAACTCACTTTTAAAAGCAAAGTAATAAGCGGGTGATTCGAGGACGCCACTGGTAGGTCAATCTTCTTTACTTTCCCTCTGCTGCTTCTGTGTGTCTTACTTTTAACTAGTTATAACTGACCATCATTGTATCTATGTGGTTCTCTTTACTTATACAAACGAGCAAGCAAAGTAATAAATATGAAAAAGACAACGGAAGTAATAAATATAAAAAAATACAACGGAGACATCTAGACACTTAGTTTAAAGTCTAATCATGATCAGTCTGGGAACACAACAAAGTTAAAAATACATAATAATGTTAATATGTACTTCGTCTATTCAGCACAGAAAAAAATAATAACCCATCAACGTAAATCCCGTCAGTTGAACATGAGAAGGATGTTGGTTGGGGTGAGGGAGGAGAAGAGTAGGACGCTTACTTCATTTCACTGTCAGCTTCTCTAATATCATAGATTTAGAATGCTTAATAATGATCACTATCGTCTCATATTGTTCTCAGGTTTCCGACAGCCAGCCTGTCGTTTATGAAGTATATGCCGGATGTGATTGGAGAATCCTTCGCCATCTGTTTCACTGGGTTCGCCATCTCGTTTGCCGTGGCGAAGATTCTGGCTGACAAACATAATTACGTCGTGGATCCGAATCAGGTAGGTGGGACAGACTGAGAGAAAGAGTGAGTAAGTAAGTGAGACAGAGAGAGAGAGAGAGAGATAGACTGATTGAGAAAGAGAGTAAGAGAAAGGAAAGTGTGTGTGTGTGTGTGTGTGTGTTTGTGTGTGTGTGTGTGTGTGTGTGTGTGAGAGAGAGAGAGAGAGAGAGAGAGAGAGGCAGAGAGAGAGAAAGAGAGAGAGAGTGTAACAAAAAAAGAGTTACGGTACTGACAGAAACTGGGTACGATGTAGCTGTTGTGAAATCTAAAAACATCCTCCTTCATCTTCGCATGTATGTTGGCCATTCTCGTGCACGATAGACTGTTCGAGATTTCTAGTGTAATGACGTTGTAATTGCTTTTCCTGAAAACTGTTCCTCGCTTTACTTAAAGCACGAGTCTAATGTTGAACTTGTTGAAACAATAGATAAACTACACAGATAGGAATAATGAACAACAACAACAACAATAACAATAATAATAATAATAATAATAATAATAATAATAATAATAATAATAATAATGATAATAATAATCATAATAATAGTCATAATAGTCATAATAATAATATTAATAATTGTAGCAGTTTAATATAAAGTGAAACGTCTCAACGTGGAAGTATTCTTTAATTCTTAATACAAGAGTTAGTAATTCATGGTATCAGAAACATCATGTCGTCCTATATAGTTCAGCCTCCGAGCCTTATCTGTTATATCATTGCCAAGCATTTCTTATAGGTTTTAAAACTAATGTTATCTTCTTTTATTTTCTTTTCGGCTGTCCTATCCAATTTTCTCCAATCTCACCCTACCACACCTCGCCTTCCCTTACCTCCTCCCATTCTATCTAACATAATCTCAGGTGACACGATTATTACAATACAACCTATTCCTAGGAACGCTCGGCTTTTGACATCAGTGATATCCCTGAACTCCATGTGTTCATTCTTGTGCTGCTTCACGCCTCCACAATTCTCTCTTTCTCTCTCTCTCTCTCTCTCTCTCTCTCTCTCTCTATCTCTTTCTCTCTCTCTCTCTTTCTCTCTCTATCTCTCCCTCCCCTCTCCCTCTCTTCCCCCCCCCTCTCTCTCTCTCTCTCTCTCTCTCTCTCTCTCTCTCTCTCTCTCTCTCTCTTGGTATGTCTCTATTTCTCCCTCTCTCTCTTTCTCTCACTCTCTCTCCCTGAATTTATCTCAGGTCATATCTCATGACCAGAATTCATTTTTACACAAACTAAGCTAATCTCATTTCTGCAAGTCTCGTCTATTCTTATATTTCCTAATATTACAAATAACATAACTGTCTCTTCTTCTCTCATATAATCTAATTTCTTCTAACCCCATGCAACGTCATCTCTTATATTCTCAAAACATGCCGCTTTTTAAATCAATGTTCTAATCGTCTCATCCCTTATGTTATTTTCTCGAGTTCAACCCATATCTTGCAATTTTTATATATTTTTGTCTAGGTCAACCTTCCCAAAATCTCATCTTTAACTTTAATTTAAATCCCACCTAATCTTTTCCAATCATTCCTCGTCTCATCTTTTTGTTTTGCTTTTGTTTTGTTTTTTCTATGTTTTCATGTCACAATCTTACCCTACCTACTCCCTTTTCTCAGTTGCCTTCTTTAATCCAATATTCTTTTATCTCGCCTCACATGATCTCATGTTGCTCACCATCACCCCACAATTGTGGGCATCTGATTCTCCAATGTAATGGTTTGTCTCTTTGCCATGGACGTGGCAAGCTTGAATTCGATTAGCTTTCAGACATGAGCAAACCAGGCAAGATGGTAAATAATGTAAATAATGTCGATAAAGGCATAAAATAGTTTTTATTCAAAATGTGTGACCAAATCAATTACCCCATTTCTCACTGGCGTCTGCTGTTGTAATAGTAATAAAGCGCTTTGTCTTTGCATTCTGAAGACGTGAGTTTGCTTTCTGAGACGGGAGATTATTTCATTCAATTGTTCCGTCTTTGTGCTATAATTTTGTCTCAGTCCAGACTAGCAAATTCGAAGCAGTCTGCCTCCAAAATGATCTTAAAATTGTGTCCAAGGCCACATGTTTGTCTCTTGTCCCTTTTTCATGTGCCATGTTGGTGGTCTTATTCAGATCAGATAAACAATGACCGTGATGGTGTAAGTAAGTAAATTAGTAAGTACAACAACATTTCAACACTTGTAGGTCGAAGCAGCCCGCCTCCTAAATTATATTAATTGTATCCAAGGAGACGCAAAATATTCTTAAAAACAAATAGGCCCCGCTTCTCTTAGTCCCCATCTCACCTGATATACCCATACCTCCACAGGAACTCGTGGCTCATGGCCTCAGTAACATCCTGGGGTCGATGTGCTCATCTTTCTGTAGCTCCGCATCTCTCTCCAGGAGCATGGTGCAAGACGGAGTGGGCGGGAAGACACAGGTGAGGAAAAATAGTGTGAGATAAGGGGAGAGAAAGGGTTTCTTGTTCTTGCCTTGTTCTTCTAGTCCTTATTCTTGTTCTTCTCGTTGTTCTTGTTCTTGTTCTCTCCATATCTTTTTTCCTGTCTCTTTCCCTGTCTTTCTCCTCTCCCTGCCACTGGCTCCCTTCCGTCTCCGTCTCCCACACACTCTTTCTCTCTCCCTGTCTCATGCTCTCTCTCTCTTTCTCTCACTCTCTCTCAATCTCTCTCTCTCTCTCTCTTTCTCTCTCAATCCCCCCTTCTCTCTCTCTCTCTCTCTCTCTCTCTCTCTCTCTCTCTCTCTCTCTCTCTCTCGCCTTCGCGGTGTCTCTGTCTCACCCCCCCCTCTTTTTTCATTCGTTCTTTACGTTATTCACTATTTCCTGAGTTGTCTGTTAGTCTGCAAATACAGCATTACTCTGAGGCATGCCCATAGTGCCTTTCAATGAGACTGCTCAATAATACGTGTGGCATCGTGGTGAAATCAGGCGCTCGTCAAAATAATACAATTGAAGAGACCGACATTTTCCCGTCAGTTGGGGAATTTATATCGAATTTTTTGTTTTGTTTGTTAAATATCTTTCACGTCCATTTTAAACCTATTTCTGTGTGGAGTTTACTGATAAACGTTGACGAAAGGTCACATTTTTTAAAAGAATAAAAAAAGAAAAAAATGTAAACGTTTAGTTTCCTAGGACATTCAAGCTTCGTAAGTCACCAAACTCTGGCGTGCATTTTCTCGCTAATTTTAACTCTGACATCAGGCGACCCCCACCTCCTTCAGTGGCAAATATCTCGACTTCTATTTAAGCGAAGTAGGCAATTTTTCATCAAAAGCAAGACAAGGTTAAGATGATACCAATAACTCCATATGGCCAAAAATGACGAGCGCCTGATTCCATCGGGTCGTGACATATATAATGTTCCATTTTCATTGCTCATTATGGAAATACAGGATTTAGCGGTTCACTGCCAGATCCATGCGTCGATCTTTTACAACAGTCTAATCATTCCTAAATTAGTTCTGTACGTATATTCTGAATAAATGAACGTGTGTCGGTGAAAACTCTTCATTCTGTCTTTAAAAATGCTGCAAGGTTCTTTGTCGAGGTTTGGGAAATTCTTTCTAGGGTTCAGGACTCACCAATGAATAAAATACAGCCCGACAGGAGTTGCTGGGATAGAAGGAACCTTGTTACACTAAACGCATTACCGTGGACTTGAAAGACACTGCCTTTTTATACACACTCCAAAGACTCGCGCATGTCTTTGTGAGAACGATGTGGCTTCTGAACGTTTCTTATCTCATGCTGTGGCTGTAAACAAGGCAGATGATAATAGTTCAGACAAGGAAGTTTTGAATTCTAATGCTGATACAAGCGTAAAACAAAAATCAAAACAGGGAGGATTTTTAACTTTTTGAACATGTAGGTCGTCTGGAAAATAGAGAGAAATATGACACAATGTTATTGTGTGACAATAATTATAATCGAAAAAGAATGTTATATCGTGCAAATCAGATAAATGTATTATACCCTGCCAACTTGGTAGCAGAAGGTGATAGTAAGGCAGTGTCTTGTTTCAAGGAATAAGTCGTTAAAGTCAGATGGAAAGTATCGTGGAGGTTTTTGGGACATGTTCCCATCTTGGCTCAGTCCTGGCGGAGCAGAAATTAACAATGGAGATCCGATCCGGCTTTAAGAAACACACTATATTTAAAGACTGTTTTATCATATGATGATTTGGGCTGGCTTCTGTGCATGGTTAGTTTCACATTAAAATCTGGTCTGATTAGCGGAAGTCCAATCGAGGCATAAATCTGACTGTGATGTGGAATTGTTTTCCTCATCTGTGGTCAGAAATTAATTTAATTCTCTGTCCCTGCGTCCTCACTTGTGATGCGATAACTGTCAAATCAACTTCACTGTGCATGACAAGTATTATGTTGCTTACGCAGAACAGCAATCATAACATACAACAACATCACGCTCTCCACTGGTTTCTGTGGTGTGTATGGTTATTAGGCTCATCCTTGTTCTGTGCACAGACTATGTGAGTTCGTTTCCCGAATGAAGATGTCTTTTCAGTCCACAAGGTACATTATGTTAAAGTGCAGAAATTGCCTTAAACACTTGTTGTGTCTAAAAATAACAATTATTTTGCTTTTCCAAAGTCTTTTAAAGGATTTATCTGTCTGAGAATCAGTACAACGATCTTGAAAGTATGCTTTTAACTGTATTTCTACCAATTAAAATATGTTAATGTTGCAACAAGGACATTACTCAAATCTTTGATTGCAATTACATCTCAATATTTTATCTTAGACAGCAGTGGAGCATTCCAAGTTTGAACTGTTATTCGTTTCCATAAACACCATTTGAATTTGATGTTAAGGAAAGCAAAGTTTGTCCGTTTTTCAATGGTACCAAAAGCTCAAATTATGAAATGTATACCTAGTGGACCAAGCTGACAGGACTCATCACAATGAATGCTTATTGTGTCCCACTCAGCCTCAGGTTGGTTTGTTCCCGACCGCAAGACTGAAACAGCCTACCTCCTACCTACCATGATCTAAATTGAGTCGATGGGAGCTTAACACCATATCCACCAATGTCATCTTCAACATTGTCTTTCTGCCTCGTGTACACCGCTAACTAACCTGTCCCCAGGGTTGTATGCATCCGGCTTGCATAATTTCACATTTTTGGGCTCAGTTTGCATAATTTCATAATTTTGTTTTGCTTAAATCCACGTGGACAGACTAACGCCAATGTTTCCTCAGATCGTCAGTCTCGTCTCCAGTGTGCTTGTGGTAATCGTGCTCCTGGCCCTGGGGCCGCTTTTCGAGTCTTTGCCAAATGTAAGTGTCGCTCGTTCACAACTGCTGTGAATGATTATACGCATCTGGTAATATGGGTTGATATGGATGTATCAATAGATAGATAGATATACGGATAGACAGGTAATTATGTTATAGACTAATACGTACCAAAAAATATTGTCGGATGAAATATAAATCAAAACCACTGCCAATATCATCATCATCAACAACAACAACAACAACAACAACTACAACAACAAGAATAACAACAGCAAACATAATTGCCGCACCCACACGAAGAACAAAAAACCCAGTAACAGTAACATCAGTAACAAGAACAGCAAATAATATAACACAACACCATGAACAACAACACTAACAACAATAACCCAACAGCTACAGGCACAACAAATTCAGATTTAATTCAGCAGCGTGGGTAAAAACTTCTGACAATGAAAATGTTTCATTGTCATATTATTCTATGACTGCAATAGATCAACAGCTAAATGCATTATGAGAATGCCAAAACGATGATTACCATTTGAAATCTGCAAGAGTTCCCACTTCCTGAAGAAAAAAAAATGTAGTTTGAATTCCAGTGCACAGAAAAGCAAATAACACGACCATATAATATAACTTTTATTTCTTTCATTCATTTAGGAATTTAGGAGAGAGAGAAAAAAAAAAGAGAGAGAGAGAGAGAGAGAGAGAGAGAGAGAGAGCGAGAGAGAAAGAGAAAGAGAAAGAGAAGCAAACGCGGCGTCATCCGGGAAGGGAGATAACCAAGAAATAAGCTAAGAATTAGAGAAATGCCAGTTGTCTCCCCGTCAGAAAAAAAGTGCTGACATATTCTGATCAATGTGGTAATTATCGTTCGTGCTGGCTATGTAAAGACCGCAGTGCTTGCTTGTCGTATCTTCATTTTTTTAAACAGCGAAAATGCGACTTCTTCTTAAGCTTACTCTTTGTTATGGACTACATTAGAATTACAAAGTTGTATCTGACATTTTAGGCCATTTTGGGCCACTAAGACCGTGAGGTCAGAAACCACATATTCAGTCTGCTCTATCAAAATTGTTAGATTATTCGGAGTCGATGTCAAGCTATTCAAATAATTGTATTTTAAATTTTAAAAGCTTGACATTTTGTTGAAAATTTTGGAAAATGGAGCTTCGTAAAACTAGGTACGGTACTGAGCAGATAGAACTTTATAAGTCTGGGGTAGCGAAGTACAGAGTTGGACAAGTCGCTACCTTAGACTTACTGTAAAAAGTTCTATCTGCTCAGTACCTTGTTTTGAAAAATTTGACGTAAAAGATTTTAAGTTTCACATCATGTCAAGATTTCTCGAA